ACATGTATGGTGCATGGTAGCCAAGTTGCCCATCCCTGCACCCTGTATCATCCGGAGAACGTTATCGTAAATGCCCAAGGCCTTCATGGCACACGGATCTGCTACTCGAGTAGGTTTCAGGGGAACCTTCAGCCACTCGTTATAGTATAACGAGTCATATTCGTCCCATATCTCTGACATATCGTGGTTCACCACTAAAGGACGCTCCAAGACCTTAGCAGGAACATCATCCCACTCCCTACTGATGCGAATCTTCTGGCTAGGTGTGTTATTTGCTGTAGAAGCATGTTCCTTGCCTGGTCGCTGTCTCTTGTTACTCAGTGCCATCTGCAAAACAATCACCAAAAGAAAACACAACCAGTTGGAAGTAAGCAAACGATTTTCATATTATGGGTAATTGTGTCGGCCGATACAACATCAATCAAGTCTGAATTTGGCGATTTCTCAACATTCAACCACAATCAATCCACAACTTTCAACCACAACCCTTTCAACACAACCAATCTATCACCCATTGAAACCTACTTCGTTCCAAAACCCAAATTTCACCAAATTTTCATCACAAAATTCATAACCTTATCCTAAAAACTTGTCAAATATCGCAAATTAAGCACATGGGTATGTCGAATCCACTCTAAAACAACCTAAATAGGCCGAATTTCATAATATAAACGAGTGAAAAGAGATGAAAATCAAAAATCAAACCTTGGTTTCGGAACTGAAATTAGGGTTTTGTGAACACATACCTTGTAGATCGAGAATGTGAGTGATGAAATCGAAGTGGGGATGAAAAATCTACTCAAGTTAGGCTGAAGAAACACTCAATTCGGTGAAGATTTGAAAATTTAGGTTTCTCTCAAAAATCTCTAAGAAAATCGATATTTTTCTAAGAGAGGAAGAGAAAAATGTTGCTTTGTTCCACGAAAATCAGTTTTGGGGTTGTAAAAAAGTGTTTATTCGGTTTAAATCGAATAAACCTAAACCAGTTTAAACCCGACAAATCGAATAGAAGTGTTTGC